GCATCCCCTCAATTTCCAATTCTTTGCCACCAGAAAAGAGTTACTATAAATATTTGGGCATAGTTCCAAATTGTTCTACATAATGGTTGAATCAGTTCACAACTCCACCAACAATGCATTAGTGTCTCAATTTTCCCACATCTCCTCCAAATTTGTCATTCTCCTTTTCTGTTGTGTTAGCCAATCTACTAATCTACTAGGTATGAGGTAGTACCTCAGTATTGTTTTAATTTGCATTTCTCCAATCAGTGGTGATTTAGAGCATTTTTTTCATATGGCTATAGATAGCTTTGATTACTTCATCTGAAAACTGACTCTTCATATTTTTTGATCATTTGTCAAGTGGGGAATTTATCAATTTGACTCATTTCTCTATATATTTGAGAGATGAGGCCTTTATCAGAGAAACTTACTTCAAAAACTTTTTTCACAATTATGATTGCTAACTGTATTCCCCTCTTTCCCCCCTCCATTCTCTCTCCTTTTACCCTGACCCTCCTCAAAAATAATTTGCTTCTGATTATTGCCTCCCCACATCCACCCTCCCTTCTATGAACAATACCCCCCTTCTCTTATCCCCTTCCCCTCCTACTTTCCTGTTAGGTAAGACAGATTTCTATACCCAATTGAGTGTGTGTGTTATTACCTCTTTGAGCCAATTCTGATGAGAGTAAGGTTTAAGTGTTCCTCACCACCTCCCCAATCTTCCCCTCCACTGTAAAGGGTTTTTTCTGGTCTCTTTTATGTGAGATAATTTACTGTGTTTTACCTCTCCCTTTCTCCCAGTGCTTTCGTCTTTCTCGCTCCTTAATTTTATTTTTTTCTTTTCTTTTCTTTCTTTCATTCTTTCTTTCTTTCTTTTTGCTAGTCACGGGGTTAAGTGACTTGTCACACAGCTAGCAAATATCAAGTGTCTGAGTCTGGATTTGAACTCAGGTCCTCCTGAGTCCAGGGTGGGTTGCTCTATCCACTGCACCACCTAGCTGCCCCACCTTAATTTTATTTTTAAAGATATCATTCCATCATATTCAACTCTCACCTATTACCTCTGTCTCCATATACTCTTTCTAACTGCCCTGATAATGAGGAAGTTCTTATGAGTTACAAGTATCATCTTCCCATGAAGGAATGTAAGCATTTTAACCTTATTAAGTTCCTTATGATTTCCCTTTCCAATTTACCTTTTCATGTTTCTCTTGAGTCTTGTATTTAGAAGTCAGATTTTCTATTCGGCTCTGGTCTTTTTATCAGGAATGCTTGAAAGTCCTCTATCTCCTTGAATTTCCATTTTTTTTCCCTGAAAGATTATACTCACTTTTGCTGCGTAGATTATTCTTGGTTGTAATCCTAGCTCCTTTGCCCTCTGGAATATCATATTCCTAGCACTCTGATTCTTTAATGTAGAAGCTGCTAAAGCTTGTGTTATCCTGACTGTGGCTCCATGATATTTGAATTGTTCCTTTTTGACTGCTTGCAATATTTTCTCTTTAACCTGGGAGCTCTGGAATTTTACTATAATATTCCTGGGAGTTTTCATTTTGGGATCTCTTTCAGAATATGATCTGAGGATTTTATCAATTTCTGTTTTGCCCTCTGGTTCTATAATATCAGGGCAGTTTTCCTTGACAATTTCTTGAAAGGTGAGGTCTAGTCTCTTTCTCTGATCATGGCTTTGAGGAAGTCCAATAATTTTAAAATGGATCTGTTTTCTAGGTCAGTTGTTTTTCTAATAAGATATTTTGCATTGTCTTCTATTTTTTCATTCTTTTGGTTTTGTTTTGTTGTTTCTTGATGTCTCATAGAGTCATTAGTTTCCACTTGCTCAATTCTATTTTTTAATGAGTTCTTTTCCTTAGTGAATTTTTGTGCCTCTTTTTCCATTTAGTCAATTCTGCTTTTTAAGAAGTTCTTCTCTTCAGTGAATTTTTGTATAACTTTTTCCATTTGAGCAATTCTGCTTTTCAAGGCATTCTTTTCTTCACTTGCTTTTCGTACCTCTTTTACTTGTTTAAGGTGTTATTTTCTTCAGTATTTTTTGTGCCTCCTTTACCAAACTGTTGACTTTTTTTTATGATTTTCTTACATCACTCTCATTCTCTTCCCAATTTTTCCTATACCTTTCTTACTTGATTTTTAAATTCCTTTTTGAGCTCTTCCATGGCCTGAGACCAATTCATATTTTTCTTTGAGGCTTTGGATGTAGGAATTTTTACTTTGCTGCCTTCTTTTGAGTGTGTGTGTGTTTTGATCTTCCTTGTCACCGTAGTAACTTTCTATGTTTAGAATTTTTTTTTGTTGTTTGCTCATTTTCCCAGCCTGTTTCTTGACTTTTAACTCTTTGCTAAAGTGGGGCCCTTCTTCCAGAGTGGAGGGTGCACTGTCCCAGGCTTCAGGGGTTTTGTATGACTGTTTTCAAAGATACTTCTAGGGACCTGTAAGTTTTCAGTTCTTCCAAGGTGGTTCAATCCAAGGAGAAGTGTGTTTACTACTACTCCCAAAGGGAATTTCATGAGTACCCTATGAAAGGAAAAAGGACTTCCTGCAGCTGGGAGCTGGGAGTTACCCCTTTGTCCCATGTGCTCTCTAAGCTTGAGTCCATTTTCTACTAGAGCCTGTATTTTCTGGTGAGACAGCACATCACAAACTTTTGAGGGGATTATTTTGTACCAGAGCCTGTGCTGTGGTCTGTGAGAGATCACAAGCACTCTTTTCTGCCCTGGAGCTATGATGAGGGTACCTACTTCACTGTGGCCACAAGCTCTGATGTGCCAGTACTCCTTCTCACCCTGGGACTGCCACCCAGGACTGCAATCTGGTTCTGAGTATGGGCAAAGCAACATAGTCCTGCTCCCAGTGCCAGCAAAGAAAACCCTGTAATCTCCTTCTGACCAGTTGTTCGACTACTACCTTCTGAATTTTGGAGAGTCAGAAGGTTTGGACTTTCCATTGATATCCTAGCCATGAACCCGGAATGGCAGTGACTGGTGGTTGTATCTACGTTGGGAGCTGAAGACAAGGCTAGACTTACTAAAGAAAGGCAGATTCAGCACTCTATCCAGAGCTTAACTTGGGGTCCATGATCTCTTTCCCTCTCTCTCTTCTCTCTCTCTCGCTCTCTCTTCATATACATAATATATATACACACGCACATATTTATACATATGTATATACATATGTATGCATATGTGTATGTGTGTACATATATATAAAATTTTCAATTAATTGATTTTCTTTGTAATCTTTTTTTGTAAAGTAAACATTTTATTTTATGCATTTAAAATATTCTGAGACGGGGTTCATAGGCTTAACACAACTGCCAAAGGGGTCCGTGACACGAAAGAACTCTTGTTCTACAAAGAGCCCACCAAAAAATCTATACCGTGCCCAAGGGGAATTTCATGAGTACCCCATGAAAGGAAAAAGGACTTCTAGCATCTGGGAGCTGGGAGTTACCCCTTTGTCCCATGTGCTCTCTAAGATTGAGTCCATTTTCTGCTAGAGCCTGTATGTTCTGGTGAGAGAGCATATCACAGACTTTTGAGGGGATTATTTTGTACCAACTGTTATTACTATGCCACCTGACTAAATAACCCAATATAAAAGTAAATTAAGTCAGATTGACTAATTGATATCAACTGATTATCATAGGAGGAAGCCCACCAGTTGGGCTTATAAATTATTAGGGGAAAAAAATCAGCACCTTCAATCTCTTAGAGCTACCCTTAGAACCCACAGGGAAATTTAGCAGTTTCCCTCTTGGGACCCAACCAGTCAGAGAGAATGGGAGTTTGGTAGAGTGGCTGTAAGCATATGCTACAAGTGTAAAACCTGTAGCTCTTCAAGAGCTTGAATTTCTGTATTAGTTATCCTATTTTACTGTTTTAAAATCTAAAGGACACATAGTTGGCATGTGACTTCTTCAGGTAATGGTGATGACATGTGCATCTCCTCAGTTACTGAACTCTGAGGAACACATCTGTACATTTACCTTCTTTCAGTGTAGTGCTGGGGATTCATGCTATTTATTTTCCTTAGGAAAATAAATAGCATGAATCCCCAACGCTATCCAAAACAAGCCCAGCTTGTCAATCTGCCTTGAGCATTAACTCTTTGATAGTATTTTTTTCCTGTTTAATGTCTGTTGATGTTGTTCAGTCATTTCAGTCATGTCTTGCTTTTCATGACCCTATTTTGGATTTTCTTGGCAAAGATACAGAAATGGTTTGCCATTTTCTTCTCCAGCTCATTTTATAGAGAAGGAAACCGAGGCAAACAGGGTGAAGTGACTGGCCCAAGGTCTCCCAACAAGTAATTGTCTGAGGCTGGATTTGAACTGGAGTCTTCCTGACTCCAGGCCTGGCATTCTATTCACTGCACCACCTAGCTGCCTATAGAATAATTTAGACCATTGAAGAAATCCTTAGTTTACACACTTGATCATCTCAGATTACTGTGAGAGTTCTGGTACATCGATTTAGTTTTGAATTTTGCAGTAAATCAGCAAAAACCAGACAGCCTGATTTAATTGATGTGTTGGTTAATTTTGCTGAATTACTTTTTTCCCCTCTTTTTTTTATTCTTTGTTACAAGGGATAGCTTCCTGGTTAGGATGTGTAGAGGCATCTATTCAGAAATAAAGATAATATAAAAACAAATACATCAACAGAAATTAGGAAAAAAACAAATACAGTCTAAAGTAATCAGACAATCTTCTCAGCTCTCTTATTGGGAGCCATAGTTCACTAACCAGTGTCTTGGACTTAGTCTTTTCGTCTATACATCACCCTCCAACATCCATAGTCTATGGATTTTAGGCTACACAAAATTCCATTAATAATTCTGACACAAAATCCACTTCTTTGAGACATAGATTCATCTTGAGGATTTACTATTACTGAATTACCTTCTTACAATGGCCTCAAACCACTGGAGAATTGAAGATGTCATCACCTCTGTATATGCTAACATGGCCTTTATATACATATCTAATTTTGTTCCAGACAATGGTGGACAGACTTTGGCCGGGGGCAACAACTGGCCGCTCAGAGGAAGAAAATGGTCACTGTGGGAAGGTGGAATTCGAGGAGTAGGCTTCGTAGCCAGCCCCTTACTGAAACAGAAAGGAGTGCAAAACTGGGAACTCATCCATATTTCTGACTGGCTTCCTACTCTAGTCAACCTTGCTGGCGGACATACAAATGGCACGAAACCACTAGATGGCTTTGATGTGTGGAAGACTATCAGGTAACATCAAATTACATGAGTATTTCTCCATGTAATAGTCAGTTCTCTAAGAACAGTTTAGCTCAAGTAAGATGAGACTCACATACATGAATAATAACAGCTGACACTTTAGGTAGCACTTTAAGGTTTGCTGAGTGGAGGACATAAATGATCTCCTGGCCAGACTCACCTTCTTTCTTGTTCTGACTGGGTTACTATACTGGTCATCAGGGATCTCCTATAGAGCACTCCAGAGTGCCATCTGAACCAGATAAAAATGTAATTGGGAAATATTTAGCAAGATAAATAAAATGATAAAGCTTAGATAGTATCACATTTTAAAACTATAGCCATCCCTAGGGCTGGGGCTGGGGAGGGGGAGGGGAAGAAAAAAAAAGAAAAAAATTTACATGATAACTTTGTTGTATATTTGGAGGGAATAGCAAGTTGTACGTCATAGATTTGTAGTTTCATGTGCAATCATATTTTTTATTGTACTGTGTTAAGGAAATACTTCTTTTGTTCCATAAATTAAAAATAATTTTTTAAGTTAAAAAATTAATTTCAGCTGAAAAAAATGTGTGCTCCCCAGGGATCTTTACTTATGGATTAGTGGCCCCCTTTCTATTTGAGTGTGATACCACTGATGTAGATAATAACAATTTTCCTAGATATTAGCAAAGTGTTGGACAAAAATATTTATACTCTTCTTGTGGAAAAGGAGAAACGTGGGCAAGATGATGGTTCAGTTAGATGGATTTAGAGCTAATTGGCTAATTGGAGCTAATTGACTACTCAAAGTAGTCATTAATATTTCAGTGTCAAGTTGGAAGCAAGCCTTCAGTGACATGATGATCAGGGATATGCGTTGCAAGTAGTCCTCCACTAATCTTCCACCGGATCCAACTTTCCAAGTCTTGTTTAGGGATTCCTAATTTGCCGTAAGAATTGATTGCCTGGTGGGTTCCACTTAGAGTCCTCATTTTTCAGAGTGGGAGGCTGCCTAGACTGAAGCTGCCTTTCCTAAACACCACTTCCTGCTCCCTCATGCCTGTACTTGTCAGCCCCATCCCTCCTGTTCCCCTATCCAGCCCTATTCTAGCGTGCCTTTATGCTGGGTCAGATCCCTGTTCTGTGGTTAACACACTGCCCTTCATATTAGACATGTACACTATCCCTGCAAATTACTTTTTGGGTAAAGTGACTTGCCCAGGGTCACACAGCTATTAAGCATCTGAGGCCACATTTGAACTAATGATGAGGAGACTTCCTGATTCCAAGTCTTGCTGTATCCACTGCATCACCTAGCTGCCCAGGTTGGCTATAGGGGATGATATCTAGCTTCAGCCACTGATGAAGACTGGTTACTAAATTAAAGAGGAGTTACAGTCCTTATCAGTATTACCAATGAAACCACAGGTCCTTGAAATAAGAACAATTCATACTTGTTTGATGCTGTAGACTTTACAAAGCATTTTACTTTTATTATTTTGTTTGATCTTGTCTTAACACACTTAGGAAGGTTTGAAATACAAAGTCCCATGGGGGGAGAGGCAGCGATCTCCTTTATCTGCTACTTATTTTGCCAGGGGAAAAATGCTATTCAGTAGAGGACTCTAGTCACAGCCCTGGTGTTAGGGAGAAGGAGGGTACCCTGCCATGAGGACACATGGTTTCTGATGCAGCCCTCACTTTCTTCATTCCCTAAGTCAAAACCTGGGGCTATAAGTGTGGCCGCAGCTGCTGAATACTTAGTCATTGCCCTGGACAACTGCTCATGCTTCGAAGGGAAGATCTGACATAACTGAGAGGCCGAGCACGACTGGAAAAATGCCAAACAAGATGGGAGCAGTTAGAGAGAAAGTAAAGCAAGCAAGCTTATTGAAGTTGAGTGTTGACACATTCACACCATGGAGGGGTGGTCAGGGTAGATGGATACAGGGCGGTTTGATGGGGTAGCATCCAACAAGGATGAAGCAGAGTGGATTTATATAGGTTTTTTTATCTGAATCAAACTGAATCAGAAAGTGGGGACAGGGAGCTTGGACCTAGCATGTAGGTCTGGGTTTAAGAAGAGGCTATGGTATTCCTTGCATATCCTCACAACAACCGTATGAGATAGATAGTGCAAATATTATTATTTCCATTTTATACATGACGGAAACGGATGATGTTCAGCGAGATTAATGCCTTGTGTAAGTTTACAGAGCTAGGAGCCAGGACATGGAAACCTACATCACTCATATCAACCCACACCAGCATAGACCCAATAGGATTTTATTTTCTTCATCAAGTCTATTTTGGAGTCTATAGCGGAAAATGACCTATTGATGTCTATTTAAACTCTTTGAATTTTTTCAAATAATTTTTTTCAATTATCAAGCATTTTTTTCTGCCTCTTACTACATAATCAGAGAAATTTTTTTGAAAAATATTTTCACCCCCAAAAATAAAGCCAGTGACATTTCTGTGAAAGTAAATGTAATGTCCCCTCCCGTGGTGTGTCATCAATGGACAGATGGCCCGGAATAAGTGGCACAAGAAGGATGGAACTTAATGGACATTTATTTATTTATGGAAAGTGTTTCCCTGCCCCACCCCTCAAATATTTGGAAAATGAAATTGGAAAAAAAATTTTAAACTGATAGGGCTGTGATCTCAGTGTCTAAAACTGTAGACTTTTAGAAAATATTTTTAGCACATCAGAATCAAATGCAAGTCACTGATCAGTGACTCCTGGATTTTTTTCCCCTCTTGAATCTATAAACTGTGAAATTTGAAACAAATTAAGACTAGACTAAGGAATATTATCCTGGAGAAAAAATCCTTTCCTTCATAGGCAGTATGATATGGTAGAAAGAACATTGACTTTGAAGTCAGGAGACATAGTTCATATCTTGGTTCTACTACGTAGTATCAGTGTGACCTTAGGCAAGTCACTTAACCGGTCCTGTCTACATTTCCTTATTTGTATAATGAGGGGATTGGACTAGATGGCCTTTATGGTTCCTTTTTGCTCTTAATCTGTGATCTTATTTTTCTAGGATAGGTCTGGGTAGATAGGTTTGCCTTTAGGAGGTCCTAAATGGAAAACCATGATTAGGCCTTTTGTTAACAGCTATTTGCGGCAGAATGTCTTTATCTGTGGCTTGCACTGAATACAGACATGTAGAGTAAGAGAACAGTTGTAGTATGACTAAGGAAATTTTTATCTAGCCTGTGTGATATTAAAAGTTGAACCAGAGAATATGGGTGTATCAGCAGAAATGATTAACAATACTGGAAGTACTCGTGTCTTGTGGGATAGTGGTTCAGTGCTTTGTTTTCTTTTTTGTCTTGGCTTGCCATTGGCTCTACTTTTTAAAGTATTAGCAATGGAGGGGGGAGAACATTGAAAGAAAACACCATTATCTATGAACATGGGAGCTTATCACCATATTTAATTATCTCTTTGGATACCCATTGTGTGGAACAGTGATGACCCTTACCCAAATTAATTCAGAGGCTTCTCCAGGTAGAAAGTAGAAAGGATTTTATTTCGATCTCGAGAAAGGGCGACTCACACCGAAAGGCAGTTCGATGCAAGACCACAGGTGATGTCAGCCAAGCAAGCATTTTTATAATTTCTAACAGCAACCCCTCCCTAGCCCCTACCTCTTATCCCTTTGGCTGGGCTTCAGGGGGCACCATCTAAACACGAAAAACTACCCCAGCAACAGCAGTGGAAATTACAGAGTTGTTACATAGTTTTCACCTGCCTTTCCCTCCTTCAAGTATCCTCTTAGTACATCTTGTTTTTGTTCATTTCAGATCCTGGGTACACATATATTATTATTAGGGGTCTTTACCTTATTTTACTCATTTAAGTTTAAATTAAATCAATAGAGGAATGATGGGGCAGCTGGGTGGCGCAGTGGATAGAGCATGGGTCTTAGAGTCAGGAGGACCTGAGTTTAAATCCAGTCTCAGACACTTGACACTTATTAGCTGTGTGACCCTGGGCAAGTCACTTAACCCTGATTGCCTCACCAAAAAAAAAAAAAAAGAGGAATGGCTAAATAAGTTGTAATATCAGAGTGTGATAGAGTACTATCATGCAGTGAGGAAGGAGGAGGTGGAGGTAAGATGGTGGAGTACAGGCAGTGACCCAGATGGGCTCTCCCAACATTCCCCTCTGAACAATTTTACAATTAACTTCTCAAATCAGATTTTGGAGTGACAGAGCCAACAAAAAATCAGAGTGAGACCATTTTCCAGTCTAAGACAACTTAGGAGGTCGACAGGAGAGGTCCGTGACTCTGGGGTAGGGGCCTGCCCAGAGCACATGTTGTGCAGCACCAGCCGCAGGCCTTCACATCTGCTGCGGTGGTGGCAGCGGCAGCAGCAGCTTATGGAGCTCTCAGCCCAGAGTCAGTAAGAGGGTCAGACAAGAAGACTGGTCAGAAGGAGATTAGGAGGGATCCTTTGCTAGCCCCGGGTGCAGCTGATGCTGATTAGCAACTCCATTGCCCAGAAGCAGTTCTGGGTCACAGTTCCAAGACAAAGAGGAACACTAGTGCTTGTGGCTACAGGAGATCAGGGGACCTAGTCACAGTTCCAGGTCCAAGACGAGTGATAGCAGCTACAAGGGAGCAAGGGTCCTTCATGGGTAAAGACAAGAGCACAGACCAGTAAAGCAGTTACAACCCCTCTCCCTGCATTACACCGTCGGGGAAGAGCCAAAAACTCGCAGACCCCTAGCTGTGGAAAAAGCAGCACAAAAAAGCCTGAAGCATGTGACAGTGCCTCTCTACCCTGACGTAAGCAGAGATCAACTGTAAGATAAAAGTTCAGAGTTAAGAAATAGGCTAGAAAAAATAAGCAAACAACAAGAAGAGAATTTGACCATAAAAAGCTACAATGGTGGCAGGGAAGATCAAAACATAAACTCAGAAGAAGACAACAGTGTGAAAACAACTACAAACAAAGCCTCACAGAAAAATGCTAATTGTACCCAAGTCAAACAAGAATTCTTGGAAGAG